TTCAGCTGGAAGCTTAGGGAAAGGGGAGCAAAGGAGTTGCACCGGATAACAAGAAAATATTCTGGTTTAGATGCTATGGGGCAGATTTAGTAAGAGGAGGACTCACAGAAACCTCTTCTATCAGGGCTGTGTAGTGTACTCACTTGATTGCTTTTGTTTGTTTATATATATACAGTCCTCTGAAACAAACAACACACTTTTGTTTGTCTCAGAGGACTGAGACTCAGATTCAGACTGAGACTCACGCTTATGCTTCAAGCAAAGAGAGGAGGCTGAAGGAGAATCAGTATGTTTTTGATATTATGGAAAACTTCTGATAGAAATGAATGGACGCTGCACTCTCCTGGCACAGCAAAGTGTTCCAGGGACTGCAGTGCAGGATTATCCAGATGAGAGCAGCAGCTGACCTGTGCACTCAAGAGATGAGCGTTTACTGTCAACGCACGAGCTGTTCCTGTGCCACGTGGGATGTACCGATGAGAGAGGGGTACTCCAACATCAATATTCTAATGCCACTGTCATTACGTCAGGTTGACATTTCATAAATAAGCTTAAATCATCTTCTAACTAATGCTGGGCTTACACTGTGCGATTTTTGGCCCATTTTGAGCCGATTTCTAAATGTTAAATATTAAATCTAAATATTATATTTAAATCTAAATGTTAAATGTTAAACCTAAATGTTTAGGCTAATATGCAAATGTATTGTACGGATCAACGGAAATACCAAAATAAAAGCTTCCCGAAAACCTCCGGTGCAAAATTGTGTCTGTTCTCCTCCTCACTTCTCCCCGCCATGTGCTGCTTCACTTCTTGCCTACGAACATGTCCAGCGATTTTGCTGGACATGTGCTGCAGCGATTGTGAAGTGAAGACTGCAGCTGCTAAGAGTGCACTACTGCTAAACCTTTGGATGGCCGACAAAACGGATCTTCCGATGTTTTCAGCTAAATCGCCGGACGTGCTTTCTCATGGTCCGTGCCGGGTTATGGCTGAATTCCAGTGAAATGACGGCCCGCAAATAATAGACGTTCCAGCCATGTGTGCCAGCCCTAAACCTAACCTTATCCCTAACTATAACCTTATTCGTAACCTTTACTAGCAGTTAAATGACGTAAAATAGTGTTTTCCAAATCGATTTTTAGAAAATGAACGAACATGTGTAGATTGAGTCCAAACGGTTTTTCCGTTGCCGTAATTTAGGAACGTGTTGGGTACCAGAAAGCATAAAATGTTGACAATTTGTCACCTAGCGACAAATTGGGAGTGAGAACGTGTCTGACCACTACCGGCACACTTTTGCACCGGAGGTTTTCGGAAAGCTTTTATTTTGGTATTTCCGCTGATCCGTGCAATAAATTTGCATGTTAGCCTAAACATTTAGATTTAACATTTAGATTTAGATTTAAATATTATATTTAGATTTAACATTTAACATTTAGATTTAACATTTAAAATTCTGTTTTAAATATGAAAAGTTACAAATATTTTACTAAATGTTGTAAAAAATTACTTGTTTTGAGCTAAATGTGGAAAAATGTTGCCGTTAATTTCAGCATGTTTCACTTTACAAACGGCGCCCCATAGTGCAGCGTGTGATCTGGACACAAGCGATGGAGGTACAACTTGTAGAACTTTGGAAAGCTCATCCGAGTCTTTTCGATGTGGCATCACAAAATTATTACGACCACAACAACCGTGAAAATAGTTGGATCTATACATTGCTGCTCAATCACAGCTGCCTGATCATGTTTTTCATTAGCAATTTAGCAAAGTTGATGGTGGTGGTGTGTCTGTGTGAGTGAAAGACAGAGAGGGAGAGCGACAGATTATCTGTTATAACCTTCATTTTATGGACGCACAGTGTGAGCACTCAGCTCGCATCAGAGCATCGGGCGGTATAGTGTGAGACCTGCACCGTGACCTATGAACTTCTAAACCCTGCGAGTCAATCGTGCAGTTTGAGCAGGAGCTGAATCGCGCAACTGAAAAAATCGCACAGTGTAAGCCCAGCATAAGCAATACTTCTGAAAGGATGAGCACATCCATGCCTGTCAAAACTATTTATCACCCCCCCTCGCTGTGATGTACATAGACATGTAGTTCTTTCTGAATCCATAAACATCACAGAAACAAATTTACTGTGTAATTCACTATAGCAAATAGAATCAAGCATGATTTCTGTGCTATTTTAAGAGTAAATTCATTAATTAGTTGTTGATTAAATAATGCATCAAGTGCATAAATTTGTAATACATTTTGATTATTTATATATACAATATAGCAATAATATCTCTGTGGCTTGGTTAGTGGATGTCACTACCACTACCTCACACTGCACTGAGTTGAAGAACTGTCCTGAGCAGTGTGCAGGTTTATGAAGGTTTGTACTGCCACTGTGGCATCTGGAGCAGCACGCATACTGCTGTTCCAGAAGTCACATTTTTCCTGGCTGTTGTATCCCCATTCCCAGAAAAGCTACTCAATGT